CCTCCTCCTCTTGTCCTCCCATCTCCTTCTCTTCTCCCTCTCTTCTCCTCCTCTTGTCCTCTCTTCTCCTTCTCTTCTCCTCCTCTTGTCCTCTCCCTTCCTCTCCTTTCTTCACCTCCTCCTCTTGTCCTCTCCTCTCAGATCCTTGTCTCTACATCCCTCGTTTTGCTCACATGTTGGAGTTCGGGGTGAAGACTCATGAAGTTTCCATGACGGCTCTTCGTCTGGTTCAGAGGATGAAGAGGGACTGGATGCACACGGGACGGCGACCGTCCGGCCTCTGTGGAGCAGGTACGTCACTGCTGTTACCATGGCAACAACTAGGCGATTTACAGTAAACGATGTCCCCCCCCGCAGCTCTCCTGGTCGCAGCTCGGATGCATAAGTTTCGTCGAACGGTGAAGGATGTGATCAGTGTGGTGAAGGTCTGTCAGACCACTCTGAGGAAGAGGTGAGACCTGCAGTAGATCACAGAAGATCACAGTAGATCACAGTTCATCATATCAGATCACAGTAGATCACATTAGATCACAGTAGATCATATCAGATCACAGTAGATCATATCAGATCACAGTAGATCATATTAGATCACAGTAGATCATATCAGATCAAAGTTCATCATATTAGATCACAGTTCATCATATCAGATCACAGTAGATCATATTAGATCACAGTAGATCATATCAGATCACAGTAGATCATATCAGATCACAGTAGATCATGGTGTCCTCCCCACCCCCCTCTAGGTTGACAGAGTTTGAGGACACGCCCACCAGTCAGCTGACCATCGATGAGTTCATGAGAGTAGATCTGGAGCAGGAATGTGATCCACCCTCCTTCACCGCCGGACAGCACAAGGCCAAGATGCAGCAGGTAGATCCCTCTGTCTCTGATTGGCTGCTGCCTGATAATACAACCAGTTAACTGTCGTCTTCTTCTGCAGCTGGAACAGGAACTGACCAAGAAGCTGGACGAGGTGGAAGGTCAGTTAGTAACTCTGTCAGCCAAGAGTGTGGGGGGGCAAACAAACTGAAGCAATGCTCAACAAAAAAAAAATAACACACAGAGTCTTTTTTAAAAACAGCAAACAGGGGAAGCAGTAAAAGACACGAACACCACATCCAGTTATCTCGTCAGTTTCTCAGAACAAGAGCAGGTGTAAACTCGTCTTCAACACTTGCTGTGAATCTGGGAAAAATCTGCAACAACCAATTAAAAAGCAGCCTGAGGTCACGCGGACTCAGACGTTTCTGTGTTTAGACAGAAACAACTTATATTGAGTGTTCACAGGTCGACCAGGAGCATTGTACCAGTAAAATATTATTATATAATTAATTATGTTTAACATTTTTATACAGGCTTTTTGTCTCAGGAGGTCGGAACCAGTCGCCACTGCTGCATTTCAATATTTCGAGAACACTGGACACCAGAGGGCAATAGAGGGCAGCGAGTAAGTTATTTAAACACTTTCTAAACCATTTGTTTTGTCAGGAGAGATCAGCTGCTACAAAGACGAGATTGAGACAGAGCTGGAGAAGAGTCGACCCAAACTGAGAGGAATCTACACTGCCTACGCCAAAGAGATCGGTGCGTACTGATCAGCTGACTGCTCCTGCATGTCTCCATGGAAACAAACAAATTCAACAAGTCTTTTGTGTGGTTCTCAGACCCAGAAGAAGCCGAGGGATTTTCCATGACCTCTGAACCAGAAGAGCCGGAGGTGGAAGATGCCGAGCTCCAAGCTGCCACACAGCATCTGACCCAGGACTACCTGTGTCAGGTGATCCAGGAGGAGGAGGGGCGGGACAAAAGAACAGGAGACAGCAAGCAAGAGGCTGGGCCAGAGAAAGATGGTGTGGGGCCTCAGCGCCAAGTCCCGCCTCTGGCCGTCATCCTGGGGAAGCTGACGAGCTCCTGCAGCCTCGACCTCCAACAAACACTCCAGAACTGCAACGAGTCCGAGGCGGGACAGAAACCTGATGGTAAGAGGAGACACAAAAATAGTACATCAACATGACATCATCAGAGGAAGACGCAGGTGGGAAACAGGTGATGAGGAATTTCTCCTGCTCGTACAGGTGATCAGTCAGAGAGCGGAGTGCTGGACCTGGAAGGCATTGACGATCAGGAGATTGAAAAGGTCTGTTCATTCATGAATCAGTGTATCGATCCAGAGAGAACATTTTCTGCATCATCACATTTTGACTCTTAACACCATGACGTGGTTCTGAAGTAAAAGTTAAGGTTCTTTCCTCAAACTGACTGAGCAGAGACATGAAGGGTGTTTAAAGATAGTTTTTGCCACTCAGATGTTTTTTACTCATTTTTTTTCTCTTAGCGGTCATTGCTGATGTTTATGAGAGGCGAACAACATCTCTATGCCTTCATAGATAAATGTGGTCTGTCATTGTGAAAGGATGTCTGTACAGGAAGTGGTGTGTGATTTCCTGTTTCCCTCTGTGCTGCAGTACATTCTGAACGATAAGGAGGTTCAGGTCAAGACAGAGCTGTGGATGAAACAGAACGCAGAGTACCTGAAAGAGCAGAAAGGTCAGGATCTTCATCCTCAACGTCACACCTACAGGACATTGTAGTACTGAGCTGTATTTCCTGTTTGTGCTTACAGAAAAAGAGGAGAAGATAAAGAAAGAGAAAGAACAGGGGACATATAAAGAGAAGGTGAGTGAAGCACAGGGTTTCCCAGGCTGTGGACCAGGGCCTGTCTTTGTTAGACTGTGGGTGTAAATGTGCTCACCGCAGCTTTCCCTCTCTTCAGCTCAACACTTTATTCACAGAATAAAATCAATAATTTTAAGTCATTCAAATAAAGTTGGAGTTGTTCGCTTTGTGTTTGCAGAAGAAGAAGAGATGCAAGAAGGGCGAGCAGATCGAGGCATTGACAGCAGGCGAGGCGATCGAGAAGATGTTAGAGAAGAAGAAGATCTCCAGTAAGATCAATTACGACGTTCTCCGAGACCTGAACACGAGAGGGACGGGAAGTGGGGGGGGCAGCAGTCCCAGCAGAGCTGCCTCTGACCCCCCCGACCCCCCCAACTCTCAAACACGGAAACGACTCACCCGCCGCCGCCACAGGACCACTGAGGCTAACCAAGACCTTGCTGCTAACGCTAGCATCATGAGAAAGAGGTGCAATCAATAATCTGTGTTTAATCTGTGATCACTAACGTGTATTCTGTTCATGTGTGTCACCAGAAACTACTGCAGAGAAGAATACGAGTACACTAATGTAAAAATATACAGTAATCATGACAGTATTATCACATGTTGTGTGATTACATGTGTAATAGTACACGTAATAACAGGTGTACAGTTGAGTGTTCTGTTCTCATCTGTAAAGAATAAATAGTTTCAAGATTTGTTAACTTTAAGTCCTGAACTTTATTTTGAAGGTTTCGTCGCCTTATTTCCTCTACAACGAAGAAGAAGAAGACGACGACGACGACGACGACTGTGTCTGGGGTCAGCACACACACACACACACACACACACACACACACACACACACACACACACACACACACACACACATCGATATCAACTACATGTTTCACCTCTCAGGTAGCAAACTCTGTCACCATGACGACACAAGCAACAACAGAGACGGCAGCTGAAGTGACCCCTGACCCACAGCCCAGCCCCCCCCCTACAGATGCCCCTCCCACTGTGGAGGAGGAAGAGGACGGGGAGGAGGAGTGTGTCAGCGCTCTGAAGCTCGTTGGAGGTCAGGACAAACCACCCTCAGCTGACACTGATTGACTGATGACTGACTGACTGATGATTGATTGATTGACTGATGATTGATTGATTGACTGACTGACTGATTGACTGATTGATTGATTGATTGATTGACTGATGATTGACTGATGATTGACTGATTGTCTGATGATTGATTGACTGACTGACTGACTGACTGATTGATTGATTGATTGATTGACTGATGATTGA